AGAAAAACAAAGAAACAAGAAGATCAAGCTGAATTTGAAGACAGAGAAATTATAAAATGCACATTACAGGGCAATAAAAACCAACTTTTCCCGTGAGAGACAGAAGTGGGAGTGGAGGAAGGCCCGATTCTTGAATTTAGAAGAGAGTTCATCTGTGTGCTTTCTTTCTTTTTCCTTTTTTTTTCCTGTGGTCCTGGGGGAATTCGAGACAGGGCCTCAGGATCCTGGTACATGATAGGTAGCCCAGGCTAGCCTCAACCTTGCACTAATCATTCATGCTTCAGCCCCCTGACTACTGGATATTAGTTTAAAAAAAAAACTTTTCTCCAACTCAATATGTGAAGAAACTAAAACCAAAATTACATATTTTCAGAAGTTTTTTAAACAAATAGCTGGGTCTTAACATTCACAAACCAGTCGTGCTCAGTCAGTGACAGGCAGCTACCTGAATGGGTCATCCCAAATAAGGCCAATGGCTCTCACACCGTGCCCAAGGCAGAAACAGTCAAAACGATGCCCTCCTTGCCTTTGCTGCTGGGGCTGAAAAACCTACTGATCATACTACTGAGTCACACTCTCTAAGCCTCTTCGGGTCCAAACTGCCGCCCAGTTAATACATCACACCTTTCCCGACTCCAGTGCTGAAGACTGAGCGCAGGGTCCTGCACCTACTGAGAAGACACCGGCACTGTGCCGCCGTCCCAGCCCACAGTCGTCTGCAGCTCAGTTCAACTCTGTAAAGTAAATTGGTTCGAAATTCCCTACTAAGTGGAGCATTGCAAAGAGGAGCGCAATCCCAGAAAGTTGGAGCTAAAGCTCAGGATGGAAAATCAAATAGATAATATCTGTTCAAATGAACAGAAGAAGGACAAGGACACACCCGGGACAGAGGAACCACAGAAAGAGAGAACGGGGGCTACAGCACAGAAGGGGGCTCACATCAGAGTCTTTCCAATGTGGAAGTAAAACAAGAGGCTGGAGGACGGCTCAAAGGATAAAATGCTTCCTGCAGAAACACAGGGACCTAAGATTACATCCCCGGCATCCCCATAAAAAGGAAGGCATGGCAGCATGCTCCTGTAATCCTAATCCCAGCTCTGGGTGACAGAGGCAGGGGGATGATCCTGGATACTCTCTGACTAGCCAGGGGAGTCAAACAATGAGCTTCAGGTTCAGTAATAGACCCTGTCTCAAAATGTAAGGTAGGGAGAGATAGAGGAAAACAATCAACATTTACCTCTGGGCCAACACACACTCACACACTCACACATGTACACACACACACACACACACACACACACACACACACACACAAAGATCAAACCATCTTGGATAGGGAAAGATGGCTCAGTGATGAGGAGAACTGGCTGTTCTTCCAGAGGAGCAAGGTTCAACTCCAGCATCTACATGGTGACTCATAACCACCCGTAGCTACTGTTCCAAGGGATCCATCACCCTTTACTGGCCTCTATAGGCACTGTGTGCTACTGTATGTATGTGGTTTACACTGGTGCATGCAGGCAAAACACCCATAAATGTAAAATATAATAAGAGCCTAGAAGCTGAATTTTGAGACCTGGAAAGGGAAAATGTATCAATCAGATTTACCTTATTATGACAAAATACTTCAGTTAAACAACTTTTGGCTCACAGTCTTGAGGGTCTTAGGCTAAGGGGCTTGTTCTGTTCCTTTGGTTGTGTGATGGTCCACCCTGGTGTAAGCACACTGTGAAACAAAACTGTGCCTCAAAGCAAGAAACAAAACAGACAAGGAATGAACTAAGATCCTATTATCTCCTTCAAGTTCACACTCCTAATAACGCCAAGGCCTCTCACTAGGTCCCTCCTTGTCTCTCTAGTGCTCCCCACTATAGGCCAGGGGCTACAGACAGAACTTGTAACATATGTTAAGGAATGCTCATGAGCTAAGACAGAGGAGGGGATAAGTCAGAGAGACTGGGTGTCTCAACCTTTCCAGTCCATGGGTTCAAACTTTAGAGTCCTTGATGGGAGAGGTAGGGCTGTTTACTGAGGGCTGGAAACAGATCCCCTGCTGGAGAGAGGTGTCCAGAATGCAGGGATTCTGCTGTTCAGTGTGGAAGAGAATTTAACCAGGTTGATGTAGCCCTAGTTGGTTTTAGTTTTTTTTTTGTTTGTTTGTCATCAAGATAGTTTTGGCCATAACTCTTAAGTATCTGGGAAATTCTGGGAGTCAGAATGGAACTCAGTCTGACTGGGACCCTGAGTCTCCATGGATCTCCCAGACCAATCCTCCCCAGGCTGATTATTATTACCAGGAAGTACCAGTCTAGATATAGAAATCGAGACTGGAGATTTGTGAAACTTTAAAGTAACTTGTAAAGGGACAACTGCTGTCACTGTCTTCTGTTGCATGATGAGGCTCTAGGGTGCTGCACTAGCATCCCTGAGGCTCACTGATGCGGATAGTGCCCCGCAGGGAGCAAACATTATTACCCCTGTCTTTCAGACTGATTTCTCAGAAGCTGTCTTGATCATCACTAACAGTTTCAAAGGCTGAAGAACATAATAAATCATCCTCTTTGATCAAAGTGACAGTAGCCTCTTTTGCCAGATGGAAAAATTGGCAGAGAAACAGCCATAGCTCTCAAACATGCCACATCATCTGCTTATATTTTAATCCCCAGAGACAGAAACAGCCAGTCTCCCATGAACCTTGTCTCCTTGGAGGAGAGTTCACTGCTACTGAATGCTAATATATGTGACTTTTGTGTGTATATTGTACAGTTAATCCTTAGGAGACTGTGATAATAAATGTGAAAAAAGTTAATTCCCTAGCAAAAGCCCAAGTATGATTATATTGACCTTTAAAACCATAACTGAGGTAGGAATTGGTAGAACCACTACTAGCAAACACTGATACAGTGCTTCAGGTTTGATGTCTCTGCTGCGGTTTCTTCTGTGTACAAGTATTATGACTCTCTGGGACTTGGCAAGATGGCGCAACAGTTAAGAGCACTGGTTGTTCTCCCAGAGGACCTGAGAGAGGTCCTAGCACCCACACAATGGCTCACCACCTTCTGTAACTCCAGCTCCTTGGGATCTGATGCCCTCTTCTGGCCTCTGCTGGCACTACATGCCCACAGTGCTCAGACATACATGAATACTCATAAAAATCCAGTCTTTTAAAAATGTAGGACTCCTGCACAATGCAGGCTTGCCTCCCAGTTAAACTCCGAATGAAGTCCCCAGTACAGCAATTCACCGCAAGCCTGTCTCCCACTCCTTTATTTTAGACCCCAATGATTTTCCATATGCCATCTAGGGGAAGCACCACTGGCACTTCTGATGGCCCCACCGCATCACCTCTTATACTGTATAATTTCTTTTTAAAGATTTGTTTCTTCTCAAGGCCTTGAACCAAACCAGTGACTCCATGCAATGAACATTTGCCGGTAAAGTTGAAGAGACAAAGATGGATACTATATGGCACCCGGAAGTCTCCATTGCCATCAGGATGAATGAAAAGGAATTGGAGAAGCAGGAAAGAAGAAACCAAGTGATTTTTCTGTTGTTGTACTTTTGTTCTCTGGGGGGGTGGTTTTTTGATTTGCTCTTTGTTTTTACTTTTGTTTGTTTGCTTTAATTTGTTTCCTTTTGTGGGGGGCATGACAGGGATGAGGGGAAGATATGGGGGACTGGGAAATGAGCAGAATTGGGGTGCATGATGTGAAAATCCCAAAGAGTCAATAAAGAAGAGAAAAAATATTTTTTTCTTTTTATTCTTTGAGTGTGTGTGAGTTTCTATATATAGGTATTGGGCACCACATGCATAGCTATGTTCATGGAAATAAAAGACCCCCCAGAGTGGGGAGACTTTCACTTAAGTCTCGGAATAACACGACCCCCCAGGAACTAACAAAAGACCGTCCTTGCTGCAATCACACAAGGTTTATTGACAGGAACCAACTCGCTGGGGCCGAAACTCATTCCCCACGTAGGGGTAGAGGAATTCGACCCCAAGTAGCTGGGAGAGGGGGTCAGACTATAGTCACAGTACTGTGATGTCGCAGGAGAGGCTGGCTCGTTGTTCCTTCTTGTAAGAGCAGATCATAACCTTGTATACCACAACAGTGTAATGGGCCAATGATCTTCTAGGCACACATACCATAAGGCCGGGCAAGAGAAGTGGTAGCTACTTTTCCTCAAATAAACTTTGGCAAATTTAATCTGCCTCTTGTTTTTTCCATTTTCTTTATTTTCTTTGGTTTTGGTTTTGAATAGTTTCCACTGTGTTAAAATGCACTAATCCGATGACCTCGCAGTGGAAACTTATTCTTACAAGCTCTAGAAGTAGAAGTCTAAAAATCAAGGTGTCAGCGTTCTTTCTCTCTCTCTCTCCCTCTCTCTCTCTCTCTCTCTCTCTCTCTCTCTCTCTTTCTCCTCTCTCCCTCCCTCCATTCCTCTCTCCTTTTCTCCTCCTCTCTGTCTCTTCCTCTCTCTCCACTACCAGGGAGACTCTTGCTCACATCTAATAGCTTGTGACTGGAATCCTTGGTTACTAAGAACAGAAGGGGGCTAACTCGAAGGTGAAAAAAGGAAAGGAGAGCACCTTGATTCTCCCTTTCTGTCCACATCTGTTAGACCCTGGCAGTTTATTTCAAACTTAAAACCCAAGGAAAAGGAATTTCTCTTTTGCAAGGAACTGTGTAGGGTCTTCTTATGGTGACTATGATGCCATGCTTGAACACCAGAGGGCACACTTTCCAGAGCAAAGTGGCTTCCTGGGGCTGTCACAATCCCCAAGCTAGCACATAGACTCAGTCATCCTTAGGTGACTTCATCAAAGAAACTCAGCCAGCCCCTTCAGCCTCTTTCGTTTTTTACATCTCAGATAAAGCCCATGATCTCACAGTTTCCCTGCTCTAGAGGGAAACTCCAGAACCTTCTAGAAACAGTCTGCTTATTCATTTTCTATTTTCTCTTCAACCCACTCCAGTCAGACTTTTTTCCCCACTGCAACCGAACACCTTCAGGTCGCCACTGGCTTCCATGCTCCAATTCAAGGCTCACACTTCAAGTTCCTCTGTTGACAACATGCTGCCATGGTTGCCCCACCTCACTGTCCCCCTCTCCTCAGAGTCTTCGGCTAGCCTTACTCCATTTCCCTACTCTTATTCCATCTTCCTGCCTCACTCTTGGTGATATCCTCAAGCGGTCACTAGCTTCTGAAATCTTAGAGACACTGGTTCCTGTCTCTTAGGTGCTACATTTTTTAAGAAGCTGTAGGAGGGAGCAAATGTTCATTGCTTAAGTCACTAAAGCTTAGCACAGTGTGTTAAGAATCAGTAGATAGAATCCCCAGAGGTGCCCCTTTGATGTCCCACCCAGGATTAACTCATCCCTAGTATGGAGCTGTTGGCTCAACTCTCTCTCCTAAATAGATTTTTTTTTTTACTCATGACACCTGTCAAAGTGATATCATCTGGAAAGAAGATCCCTACAGCTGAGGTCATACCTGTAGGTGTTCCCAAATATGATTACTGGTATCCTTACATGAAAGGGGAAATGTGTACACACAGACACACACATAAGTTAAATACCATGTAATCATGAAGGCGAGTTTAGGGTAGTGTATCAACCCAAGGACACTCGAACATGTATCAAACCATAGCCACTGACAAATAGTAGGAACAAGCTAGAATCCTTCCCTGACACCATCAGCTAAAGCCTGAAGCACAACAGAACTGATTCCAAATGCACACCTTTCGGAATTTTGAGAGAGTAGGTTTTTATTATCACCAGGCGCAAAGGCTGTGCTATATTCTAGGAGCAGTCTTGGCCATGCGATTCTTGGGAAAAGCCTGGTTGAATTTGAATCATCCTCTTTTGTCATTTCTCTTGCTGCAGCAAGCTTCATGGAACTGACACTTTCTCTGCCTCATTCATCATTTACCCAGCTCCAGGAGCAACGGATACTTGACACTGGACGTAAGCGTGCAAATACATAAGTCAATGAGAAAAGTATTACTTGAAGAAACAGGGTTCTTTAAAAAAAAATGTGTTGTTACACAGAAAGTCATGAAAACACATCAGGAAAGAGAATTTTTGCATAGGCCAAAGCATCAGATGAAAATAAAAATCTGCTTAATTTTTTGACAAGGTCTATAACATCTGATAAATGACAAGGTTTTTTTTTTAATAGATCTGAGTTTAAACATCTTTCTCTGATTATTTAGATTCAAAGGGACATCTTGGGATGTGATCATGATTTCAAATTTGTTCAAAACCCAATAGATGATGTTACAAACCTATTCACAGGGCTCACGTCTGACAAGATCAGCACATAACAGTTGGCAACCTTTGTTAGCTCCGCGAGGATTAGGAGCAACCCTGGGCCCTTCACTGCTGGGACACTCAGAAGACAGGGAATCTATGCTCTGTCCTGTCCAGTCTCATTTAGAAGAAGTTTTTCTTAAGCTCTTCTACAAACTTCTCATCCTCGAAAGGCTTCCTCTGGCTGCCAGGCTGGAGAAACTTCTTCACTGTGGGGAGGTTGCTGACTCTGATTCTCAGGCCCTGCAATATAAAACCTCAACATGAGATCAAAAGTAGCATCTCCCAGGAAATCTGAGACCCTCCCGAACAAACACAAAATAGCTCCCTTCAGCAACATGAGGGAAGAGCCTGGGGAACAGATCATAGAGACAAGGAGTGGGAAATAAGACTGAATAGTTCTTCCTTCCCAGTACACCCTGAAGACTTTATTTAGCTTCAGTGCATCCCTACCTTCCTGCTTGCCCTTTAAATACACATGATGCGGGAGAATTGTCTGTATTTTGTCAATCATATTTTAAATAAATGCTGATTGGCCAGGCAGGAAGTATATGCAGGTCAACTAGACAGGAAGTAGAGGTGGGGTGATGGGAACAGAGGAATACTGGAAAGGAGGAAACCCATTCCTCCGCAGTTCTGCCCAAACCACCAAAGAAGCAAGATGTAAGCTGCCCAGCTGAGAAAGGTAACAAGCCATGTGGCTAATATAGATAAGAATAATGGGTTTATATAAGTGATAAGAGCTAATAAGAAGCCTGAGCTAATGGGCCAATCAGTTTTATAACTTATGGAGATCTCTGTGTGATTTTCTCTGGGATTAAATGGCTGGGGGACTGGGTGGGACAGAAACTTCAATGAGCCCGGCCCTCATGTTACACACACAGGGTCACCCCTAGTGTAAAGGAAAATGAAGAGAAATGTCAGTCAGATGGCAATACTGAAAAACACTCACAACAGGTAAAATCAAGACACTGGGTAGGAATGATGAGAAAACAGACCAGGAAAACAAACCAGAGTCCAGACTTAATGGACTTCTAGCAGTGTGTGGTGAAAATGGAAGGGGGAGGGTTTCTGGGTTGAAGAGTATGTGCCCAAGCTGAGAAAAATACCATGTCTGCTAATGGGGGCTGAATCTGAGAGACGGAAACCAGGTGGAAAGAAAGTTGCTAAGATAGACTTGGTACACAGTGATATGGGTATCTGTGATCAGGGAAATCCCAGAGAAATCAGGGTCTGAGCACACAGTGAAGAGGGAGCTTGGGGAGAGCGCTGAGTGTTGGTATTTTATCATACAAAGTAAAATTAAACTTGCTAAAGTAGTGCCTATGCCAAATTTCCTGGTACAACAGCTCTCTTCACACTCTAGAAACAAGGCTGGAGGATCATTTTCCAGCTGGTAGATGAGGAATGAAGATTGGATATTTCTAGATGCCAGAAGGCAGCAGTACCCAGTACTCAAAAACTTATGCCAGGCTGACTGCAGGGACGAGCTATTTCACCTGAAGCATGGGGAAGTTGGCCACAATGCTGTCGTTCAGTTCCTCGATGTGGTAGAGAAGTTCAACCACGTGAACATCAGCCCTGCTCAGCCTGTTCCCAACAAGGTAGTCTTGCCCGTGGCTCTTCAACACCTGTAGAATTTAGAAAATCAACCCAGGAACATAAACAGTCGGACTGGGACACGAGTACTTCCCTGACCCTTTCGGCTTAACTCTCCTCCTTCTGAGCCTTCTGCAGGAAGAAGTATAGGTCATGGGCCTCTCTCTAGGACCCTGACACAAAGGATGGGAAGACATGAGGTTTGCTATCTCCTCCATTAAAGCCAAAATGATCCCTTCATTTTCACCCCCAGATCCACAGGGTATTCACATCTCCCGCCTTTTCCTACATTTCACATGTGTGCCAGCCCGTATATGGTGATTCTGTTGATCTTGTCCATACTGGATTTCGTGGTCTAAGTTGATGAGGACTTCTGACCAGGTATTCCCTCAAGAGAGTACCAGATCTCATTACAGATGGTTGTGAGCTACCCTGTGGTTGCAGAGGACTGAACTCAAGACTGAGTCATCTCTTCAGCCCCCTAAAATTGGCAATGTTTCCCTCAGCTCTCTCCCTACATAATGAAATTTGCTCAACAGTCACAGCAGGACCCTTCATCATTGAGTAAAGGCCATTTTTGTATCTATAGTTCTCCTCTTGCCTGTTTCCTCATCTTTTGGATGTCATCTGAGGCCAACCTGAGGGACTGAGGTGATGGCTTAGTTGGTAAAGTGCCTGGTAAGAAAGCACAAGGACCTGATTTCAGATCCCCAGCATCCACTTTTTAAAATGGGACATGGGGCTGGCCCAGTGGTTAGGAGTACTGGGTTCAATTCCCAGCATCCATATGGCAGATCACAACTGTCTATAACTGTCTCTATAGTCCCAGAGGATTGGAGGCTCTCTTCTGAAGTGCAGATATCCATGTAGACAAAAAACACATATACACAAAATGATTAATTTTATGTATACATTTATATGTAAATTTATGTATACATACATTTATGCACAAATAAATGATTTTTAAGTGAGACATGATGGTGCATGCTTTTATTTTTGTTTTGTTTTTTGAGACAGGGTTTCTCTGTGTAATCATGGCTATCCTGGAACTCACTCTGTAGAGCAGACTGGGCTCAAACTCACAGAGAGCCACCTGCCCTTGTCTCCCCAGTGCTAGGATTAAACACGTGAACTATTACTGCCCAGCTCAGTAGTGATACATGCTTGTAACCTCAGCCTTGGGAGATGTAGCAGATACAGGCGGGTGCCCAAAGCTTCCTGACCAACAAGCCTAGGAGAATGATGAAGTTCAGGTTCAGTTTTAAAATAAAGGTGGAAAATGATTGAGGAAAGAAAATTGATATCAGCCTTGGGTTTCCACCTGCATGGACAGGCACACACACCACGTGGAAAAACATTACTCACACAAAGATATACATAAAGAAATTTGAATCATCATCTTGGCAATACTGGCTTTCACTTTTAACACTGTGGCATCATTATCTTGCTGAAGTGTGGAGGGGAAACTGAACTCATGTCTATAACTAAGAACTGAGAGAGAACACGTGTGATGTGGACAACCCCACAGATGTCAAATCTCCTACATCCACGGGGAGCGTTTGTGTGGCCTCTCACATGTCTCTCGACTTTCCTTAGTGGATCACAGCTACATGACAACAGGGGAGGACCAGTGCATGATATTTAAGATCCATAAATAAGAGAAAAAACAAAAACACATGAAACTACCAATTAAATATACTGGTCAAATATATTGTAAGACAATAAATACAAAATAAAGTATGAATAATTGCTTGGTATAAAAACAAAGTACAATATAATTTTTTACATGTATTATATCTGTCTGTCTGTCTGTCTGCCTCTCTGTGTGTACATGTGTGTGTGTGTGTTTGTGTGTGTGTATCTGTGTGTGTGTGTATCTGTGTGTTCACCTCCACAGTACCTCTGTGGAGGTCAGAGGGCAATCCAAGGGACTAGGTTTCCTATCTCCACCACGTGGGTCCCAAGGATCAAACTCGGGTCATCAGGTTTCATAGCAAACACCTTTACCCACTGAGCCATCTTTTTAGTCCACAACATGAAATTTATGCTGTGATTTGCACTATTCATTTACATTCATGGAATACTTCTATTCCATAGCATAGATGACTTACATTTTAAGAATGGCTGTGGAGATTGTCATCATGTGACAAGTCTCACACTATCAGCACCACAACGAGCAGGTAGGAGATCCGATCACATTGGCACCTGCTTACCTTGGACCCGGCACACAAGCAGAAGCTTAACATTAGCTGGATGAATAAATGGATGAATGATCTAATGTTCCATAGGTGGAAGTTAAGCAGTTATTCCTTTATGTATTTACCAGTGTGTTTTGTTCATGCCCATTTTTGATTCATGGTTTTATTCAGGCTGACTTCAGGTGATTTCCTTCTTAAAATATTTGTCTCACAAATAAAGAGAAGTCTTATTAAGGCGGGTGCTAGATAAAATATCAGGAAAATATCCCTAAATTCTGGAGAATTTTTAAAACATCATTTCATTTCTCTCTTCTACATGTCAGTATATAAACTTCCCGTCTCTAAAACACGGCCATATTCTCCTGATGGGCATTTGGTGTCAGAGGATCATCTACTGTGTTGTCTCATTGTGTTGCTTCTGAATCAACATTACCGTACCCTACATGATCTATTCCAGCCTCTGATGTGGTCAACATTACAGTGCTCTGCATGAACTATTCCGACCTCCAATATAACCAACATTACAGTGACCTGCATGATCTATTCTGACCTCTAATGTGGCTCAGACCTCCTCACAGTCCAGTTCCAATTATGACCATGAAGTTATACCACACTGGAAATTCTAGTAAAATCATTTTTTTCTGAAAATAGTAAACTCTGACAAAACTAAGCACAATCCCTTCAGAATTGGGGTGCTAGACTAACGCTAGAAGAAATCCTTTGGAAAGGAAGGTCAGTGCCCTGGAACAGCAGGTGCTATTTTCTTCCTATCTTTGTTGAACTAAATGTCTGTGACTCCCCCAAAGTTCATACACTGAGATTCTAACTCATGATATGATACAGTTTGTAGGTGGAACATTTGAGAAATAACCATATGCTCTCGTGAATGACATTCTCGCTCTTTCCCTCCTCTCTCTCTCTCTCTCTCTCTCTCTCTCTCTCTCTCTCTCTCTCTC